GGAGGAAGCGAAAACTAGCGCTTCAAAATGAAAAAGTGGAGCGCAATAAAATAGGAAAAAAATACGACGTTTTTTTTAGAGGCAAAAATTAAAAAAAAAAACACCTTTATATATGGCTCTTTGCCCGGATCCTCCTGCGAAAAAAGAAAGAAAAAAAAAAAGGGAAAGATAGAGAAGAGAGAAAAAGAAAAGAAAGAGAGCCTAAGAAAAATGAAAAAGAGATAAAAAAGATAAGAGAAATAAAAGAAATAAGAAAGAAAGACAATAAGACAATAAGACAATAAAACAGTAAAATAATAAAACAATAAAAGAGTAAAACAATAAAATAGTAAAACAATAAAACAATAGGACAATAACGCAACGCTAATCGCATACCAAAGAGCGACGACAAAAAGGAGTCGAATTTGCGAAGAAAGAGGAGAGAAAGAGGGAAGGAAGGTAGGAGGAAGATAAGGAAGAAGAAGAGAGGGGAGGTGAGGTGCGGAGAGGGGAGAAAGAAAAGAAGGAGGGGAGAAGGAAAGAAAGGAGGGGGAAGGAAGGGAGGGGAAGGAGAAGGAAATGAGGGGAGGAGAAAGGAAAGGAGGGGAAGGGAAAGGAAAGGAGGGGAGGGGAAAGGAGGGGAAGGGAGGGGAAGGGGGGGGGGAGGGGGGAGAGGAAGAGGAAGGGGAAGGGGAAGGGGAAGGGGAAGGGGGAGGAGGAGGGGAAGGGAGGTGAGGAGACGGGGGGGGGAAGGGGGGGGATCTTCGACCTAAAAAATCAGGGGTTAGGATTTATACCCGGTCGAAAGAAACCTTGCTATCGCAAGAGTAACCCCAGCTAGCTTCGCTAGCTTTCGTGATTTAATATAATTAATATAATTAATATTTGTATTCCTTTAAATATATTATTTCAATAATTATCCATATTTAGATATTTAAATCAAAATAAATCAAATTAAAATAAGAAATATATATTTTAAAATCATTCAAAAAATCCTTAATTCAATATTTCAAGAAAATATATAAGAATTAAGAAAATATATAGATAGATTTCATATAATCATTTAGTATTAAAATGTATTTATAATATATTATATAAAATATTTTTATATGTAACGCAATATGAAGAAATATATTTTTTCTATATCGAATTTATATTCTATTTCAGATGGGATCTTTGCCCACCATTTCTGCTAGTTCAGAACGAGTTTGGGCCTTGGATCAATTACGCAATTTACACACCTAAGAATGGAGAGGACGAAAGCCAGCAAGAAACCAATATGGTAACGCAAAACTAGAAGGAAAAAATAGCGGGGCACTTATTGTTAAATGCCTGTAGCTTTGGCGGAGCAGCTTTGGTGGAGCAGCTTTCGTGGAGCTTGTATCAACGTGGAGTAGACCAAAATTGGAACACAGCGTGAAATGTTAAATATTTTAGGCTTTCTCGGTTTTCCTGGCGCGGTGCTCTCTGGAGCGTCCCTGTTTGGTGGTCTAATTGAAAATCCATGTAAAAAAATAACGTCAGTGAAGACCAGGAGAAGGATGTGTTTTGTTGTTTTCAATTAAGAGGAGGGCTAGGAGAAAAAAGAGGAGTCATTCTTGAATGGTTGTAGTTTTCGTGGAGCTGGTATCACTACAACGTAGATGAAGATCGGAGCACAGCATGAAGTGTATTTGCTTGGTGCGGCGCCTGCTGGATCGTCCCTTGTTGGTGTTCTTTTTGAGAACCCGTGCGAGAATAAACGTCAGTGAACACCAGGAGCATGATGCCCGAAATGGTTTTTGTGGTTGTGTTGAAATGTGTTTCGGGTGTCGCGCATCAATGCGAAGCCCTGTAGAGAGCAGGGCTGGGAGGAAAAAATAGCAGAGCACCTATAGTTAAAGCTTGTGCTTTCGCGAAGCTGGTATCACTGCAACTGAGATCAAGATCGGAGCACAGCATGAAGCGTTGAACGCTTGCAGCTGTCTTGCTTCTCCTCTTGCGGCGCTCTAATCTCCAAGCCTCTACCTCGCCCAGCTGGACATACCGCTACCAGAGCGTTCACTCTTTGTTGCTTGGTCGTTCTTGGTATGATCAGATGATCAGAGCTACACAGTCCCTATGCCCTGCTCAGGACTAAAAAAATTGTCTCCAGACCCCTTCATGGTGCTAATGATGCACTACTCGGCGTCCATTGCATCACTCGATCTTTTTAAAAGATCTAATTTTCACTGCTTTTCTGACCCTCGCTTTGGAGCGCTCTCCCCCACCAAGCTCCGGGCTCACCCTCTCAAAATGTGCCTTTTCGCGCCCTCCCCCCCCACACCCCCTTAACTCACTTCGTTCGCTCTAAGAGCTCAAGCCTAGCCTATTGGCTGGCTTTCGTAATATTCCATATGGAACTTAAATCCATGGATTCCGAGTTGCATCTTTCACATTCGCTTTGATTGCGACCTGTCAGCGATAATTGATGATAATTGTCCGTCCAAAATTTGGTAGGAACTTGTGGCGACATGCGAGAAGGAAGGAGAAAACAAAGTGGCTAGTAGCAACAAGAACCCTCGCTGACGAAACAATTCGTTGATTTTTTGGAATCTAACCTTTCATAAACGCACAATGACATCCTCAACGGCGCAACCAATGACTATGAGCCGCCTCTTGTCGATTGCGCAGAAGCATGGCGCAGCCCATTGCAATCGACAGCGCAAACCTGGAGCTAAGCATTGCAGCATGCTCACTCTTATGCATGTGTCGCGAAGCTACAGACCCTCCCATTCGAAACCTTAACAAAACCTTACTACTGTATCTCGAAGTTTTTCGGGAGCCTCAGCTCTCCTTCATTTCGAGACAAGAGCACCAAAAGCTGGCCATTCACAAGTCGAGTCACGAAATCGCGGCAATCGAGAAGAAGTCCTGGGCATAGGTCACGTCCTTGCACAAAGGACATGCGTACTTTTGAGCACCACTATAACCACCATCAAAAAAGTGAGATTATGATGCTCTGTTCGGCGCATGTCAACCCTTAGAGCAACGATTGGTCACGCAGAGTTGAAGCGACAAAGGAGAAGAGTTGAAGCTTTGGACTGAATTCACATCGATTCTCCCTGTAAATGACATCAACTTAATCGATTCGGTGTTGAGCCTTCCACGCATACGTTACGCTCAAACAAATTCAGGCGTTTTGCACTCTGGTGAGATAGACGCGGCAGTCCTCAGGCTCTTCGGGTCGTGGATGGAGGTTGACAAAGGTCGTGGTCGGTACAAGTCTGGCCTTCGGTCAGGCCATCGCTACTAGGTTGGAGGTGTGCAAAATATATAACTTGACTTTCAAAGGGCGGGGTAGTTCCGCCAATAAACCTGTAAGCGGTGACATTGATTCATCTGTAGCGCCCAAGTCATCACGCAGTACATTCTGTGAATTCCAGGTTGACCTATTTCAAGAGGGCCTCTATTGGAGCAGAACATTGTTAAATCTTGTTGATTGAAAGGAGATCTGCTTGAAACTCCGTCTGTTGAAAAACTTTTTCCTTGAAAGCTCAGCTAGATCCGTAGGACACCCAACCCGGCCCTAGATATCCCCTATAGCCATGTCGCTGACAGCAAGGGTAGCACAACGCAAAAGCAGCGCTAACAAACCTTGAAAGGAAAGAGGTCGTCGACCTACTGAGCCCTGACCTGACCACAACATGAAGTATGGCAAAAGAAACTTAATAGCGATGGCCTCGTGATGGCCTCCCCGTAAGAGCGATGGCTTCCAACCTACTACGAGTAGCATCTATCGCTAGGCCTCCTCCTGAGAAAGATTGAAAGGTGCGACATGGAACCACTTTCAATCAATAGAATATTGCCTGCTGCCAAATGGATGAGCCAAGTGAAGTGTGAGGATCCGATGTGGCCATCGTGGTCTCCTGATCCACGCAAACCGGAGAGTTTCGAGTGAGCGACTTGTGCAATCAAGAGGGACGTCGCAAAGTCATTGCTCGTAATTAGAATGATTTTGGTCGATGATGGAAGGAGCTTAGAACAACAGTCTCAGAACATCACAGCTCCATTAGTCTGGAAAGACCGAAGTTTCTGCAAGAGTGCAAGTCTCCTCACTGATTGCTAGGGCCGGCTGATCAACGGTGTCCTCTCCCAATTTGGTCAAAGCGATAAGACTCAAACTCTCTCAACGCATCTATTGTAACCCTGATCTCTCAACAAAATATGTTTTTTTGGCTTTCGTCCGGAGCCGTGCCTATTGCGAACGACACACCAAAAAATCCTCCAAGGCCACAGTGGGCATTCACCTGCCGTAGCCATAGCCACATTCCCGCAGCGCAGTGAGACGCTGCTGCTTGTACACTCAGGAAGCAATGTCCAAGCGTTGCTCACTTGATGTACAAGCCCCGGACAAAATCGCAAGCGTTCCTCTTGGGATACGCCCGTCCACGGAGATCTTTGGGCAGGTTGCTCTGAAGATGCAGCCGATCCAGCTGTCGTCTCAAAAGCCGCTGCCGACGCTGCGTCACACGGTCTTTTTCTTGCGGCGCTTGGTGGGCTCTCTGCCTCCTTGACCCAAGGTTGGGATAGATCCAGGACTTTTGAAGCTTTAGTAGCGCTGCGTAGCCATGCTCGCAAGCACCGCTCGTCTGGTATGTCTTGCAGCACATGCAAGTCACGACACAATGCAAGGAAGCCACCGCGCCGAAATCCTTGGACAGTCAATGCGTCAAATTCCAAAAATTATCTCTATACACTACACATATGTATTTCCGGGCCAATCTGCCAGCGAGCTGTCCAAGCCATAGACCGCAGCCTCCACCACCCACCGAGTGTCCGGAGACATCAGTCCAGCTTTAACCAGAATGGAAGGAGGTTTAGTGACCATCAATCTCTCTGACTCACGGGGGGCTAGCAAAAACGCCGATGAGACATCAGTGATCCCAATAGCCCACTGCTCACGCGCGACCTTAACGAGGATCCATCAACGCCGCTTGCGTAGAGCTCAAATGATCTCTGGCCCTTGCTGTCGTCCTTCTCGTCTCATCAACTTTCCACATAGGACGACGCAAGATCGCTTTTTTCCGTCCGGAGCTTTCACAGTAGGGACCAGCTTTGAAGAAACCACCAGCATCTCGGCGTAGCCTTTCTCCTGAGGCAGATCCTGCACCTTCGCCGGACGAAACCCAGCGAGTTCACTTCATTCAAGTCCTGTCTGACCTGCGTGAAGGAGACAGTGTATGTCTGAAGCACTGCGTGAACAGCGCGGAATCCTCCATGTCCTCCATCAGGTTCTCCTCCATCACGAGGATGTTCTTCTCCATATTTAAGACATAGAATGTCAGCCAAAATTTTTTTTAGTAAACATTTTTATTTATGATTTTTTGATTTTTATGATTTATTTTATGAATTGGAAAATGCATTTTTTGTTTTTTGATGTTTTATGATTTTTATGAAATTTTTATGCCTTTTTGTGATTTTTTATGGTGCAACTTATGTTTTTTACGATTTCAATTTGCTTTTCTGATTGTGTTTGATTGTGTTTCTGCTTTTGAAATCTTTTGAGCCCATTCAGAATATTGCTACAGAAGTGTTTAATTTGACGTGTTCTTTTTCTATCTGTATTTACTAAAAATCATTGCTACTATACCCGAAGAATGTCCTCTCCGACTCTCTGTGTGGTGAGCAAGCCAGTAAAGTTATGTAATGCTCCTCATGGTGGCACAGACACACACACGCGCATTTCGAAACACTCCGGATCAATCCCTGAAACCTTGAAATTCACAGCCACAAGTATTTTTGAAATGCGCGGATGAAGGTTCTACATGCCAAATCATTCTTCAGGCCCACATGCACTGCACTGCCAGAAGAAAGCAGAACAGTTGACGCACAGGTGTTCTCGCTACAAAACACCTAATCACTTTCACCTGTTAACTTATTACTTAACTGTCTCTATTTTGGCTGACCGTATCCACAGTAAATCAGCCCGCCTCAAGCCAAGACTGCCCAAAGACTGCCTTCAGAGGTCGTTCACGTCGCCGCTTTGTGGGGCGTCGAACATTTTGGTGGCGCAGCGCCCAGCGCGCAGCCCAATAAAATACATTGCGCGACGGCGTTGAAAGGTTTGGCGCGCGGAAAGGACCCGTACTTGCCACTATGACATCTGGGTTTGCGGGGCAAGGGTTTAGACTGGGCGGCTGGCTGTTGGCCCTGTGTACCAAAACCAAAAACCTGTAGAATTAGGAGCGAAAGTACGAGCAGAGGTTTGATAAACATAATCTGCCGTGTTCGCAGACTTGACTATTGTCTTTAGCGGCTTACAGGCCGTTCTGCCGCCGTAGGCTTTGCGTCTCAGCCTGAAGAAAAAGCGGGCCAAACGCAAACCTCCAGGGTTAGAAAAATACTGGAGGCCCACAGCTGGAGGTGTGGTAGCTTCTCCACCTCGTGTGGAGGCCATAAAAAATCATAAATTGAACCATAAAAAAGTCATTAAAAAATCATAAAATCATAAAAACAACAAATCATAAACAAAATCATTAAAAAAATCATAAAATTTCATCAAAAACAAAAATTGATAATTTTTGATGATTTTTTACGATTTCATTTATGATTTGTTTATGCTTTTTTTATGATTTCATTCATGAATTTTTATGATGTTTTTACGATGCGAAATTTTTATGATGTTTTTACGACCGGAAAACTTGGATACCTACGCGTCATCGCTCCACAGGGGTTGCCCACGCGGTTGAGACTAGGGCTCAAGTTTCGGGAGCTGTTTGGGGTTGGTGGTCTTGAGCTGTTTGGGGTCGCAAGTCGCTATCTTGAGCAAGAAAGAACTTAGTCGTCAAGAATCGCCGAGCAACTCTGCGGCGCCAGGGTTCTCTAATTGGCCTCGCAGGCGGCACGGTCAGCAGTAGTTCCAGCTTTGCTTCAACTCGCTCAGCAAAAGTCGGCTTGGACTGTTCAGCTTCAGCAACAGTAACTCCTTCGAGCGCCGAATCGTTTCGTCTTCTCGTCCTACGCTTCAACTAAATTATATGTAAGGTAGGAGGGTGAAGAAGTTACTTGGAACGAGCTGCAGCAAACTTAGCGCTGGTGAAATTAACAGCTATAGCTGCTATCGGCTAGCTAGTTCACAGCTAGCAGTTCGTCCTCAATGTCCACGCGCAAAATAAAGGCGCAAAAAGCAAACCTTGTCATGGCAGCACAGAACCAAAAAACAAGCGACTGTCTTGGATACTTCTGCATCATCGGCCTACAGTGTCCTGCTGTTCCTACGCGACCACTACTTCCGCTAAAGTTCACAATCTTGCTTTGACTGGTTACACAAGTACAGCTGACTGTGAAGGTAATTCTGATGTGATTCTACTCGACAATGAAAAGTTGTTTGTCGCGCGTGTTTGTCATTCTCGCGCACTGCGCACCAACAGCAGCAGTTTTCCAATCCTGGCCCTAGAGTCACCCAGTGGCGTTGTCAACGTATATCGTTCTCAATTTCCTACCGCCCAAGAACACCCCAGCGCAGAAACAATGGCAGATTAAGTTGCATAGATTTCTTCATTCAAATGCGATTTGAAACCAGGAAAATTTACAGGCACTAGAAATACAGAATTCAAATTCAAAAAATAGTAAATTTGGTCATAAATGAAATCATAAAAACCATCATAAAAATCATAAACCAAAAAATGCAATTTTTTCAGATCATAAAACAAATCATAAAAAAGGCATAAAAATCATAAAATAAATCATGTTTTAAAACCATCTTTTGGCTACTTCCCAAGTCTTAACTCCATATGTAGTCCAGCAGTGAGCCATAGACGACCCCGTCATCCGGTCACACCACAGTTGCTTCCAACCCCAGTGCTCCTCCTCCAGCCTCCTCCAGCCTCCTCACCCACCTCGCCCTTCACGATCACACTCTTCTTGTCCAGCGGTTGCACCCAGTCGGCATTGTCATTCGACACAGTCCATATGCTTCACAGGCCACTGGGTTGTCCGCAACCTGAAGACCACACTCCAGGCAAAATATGCTTTCAGTCAGGTTGCCACTCAATGCCTGTCGATTCCCTTTCCACCAAGCACGAAGAAGAGGGCGACGGTCGACGATGGTGAAGACAAAGAAGACAAGGACTCCGCCTTCCCGGACTGGACTGCCATCACGTAGGCCCCGAAGTTCAAGTTCTTCACTTTGCCTTGGTGGTCTCATAGGGCGTGATTGGCTCTGGTGGCTGCTTCCCTGTCAACCGATGACTTGGTCGAGTTGGATCAGGTGCTTCTTCCAAAGCCAGGATGGCCTTCTCAGCATTCGGGTCTGTTCGAACAGCAACCCGTGCGCGTTGTATTTGTTCACCATCCCGCAGCACATAGCCTTGAGTCATGAACGGTGATGGTCCCATCAGAGTCATCGTCCTGGTCCAAAGCCAGCTCGATGCCACCGGTTGGTTTTCAAATCTCCGAGCATCCCTTAATTCCTCTCAGCGGCCTCGGACCTGGAGCACGATGACCTAGGCGAGAGACACTTGTGGAGGGGGGTCGCCCGATTGCAGCCACCTGGCCACTTCTTGCGAGATGGCACAAATAACTCCAAGTTCCAACAGCGTGGAGGTCATACTGGGAACCGTTGACAATGTCCATGTTGATGATTTCATAGCCGTGCCAACTCCTTGATGTCCAGGCCTTTGTTTCATCCACTGAACAGGTTGAGGATCACGCCAGGAGCGCGCAGACGGTGCTGATGCCTGTTCCAGGGGCAAGTCTCTGGGTCAAAGTCCAGCTGACCGCTCATGTAGTCCCAAGTATGATTCGGCACTTTGAGGACCACCACCTTCGAATTTCTTCACTCATCAACAGCTCGGTCGGCCTTCTCCATGGTGTCCAACAAAGCGAGGGCTTGTTGTTCTGGAAGTACTGGGCATCCTCCTCTAAGCGTGCACTCAATCCGTCCATGTTCAGGGTGATTGATTCGACACCCGCTGCAGTCCATTGCAGTTTGTAGCCCAGCTTCACCAATCAGTGCAATGGCACTATCACCTCCACACGATCACGCGATAGCAGGGTGTTGTGATCCTTGACCTTGAATAAGGTGACTGACCCTGAGGCGAGTTCCACTCGCACTGGAACCCAGTGGAACGAGGGCGAGCTTCACGAAGTCCATTCGTTGCTCCTCCATCCACAAGTCCTTAGGCTTGAGCTCCTTGACACGCAGCACCTTCATGCTGCGAAGTGTCTTGAGTAAAGACGTTGCCTCAGACAACAGCTCCGCCGTCGCCGTAGTGTCTCTTCCCGGAGACTTGTCCAGGACCTCCACACTTCTTGAAGTTCCTGACACAGGAGAGGAACTCGACCCCGCCGCCTTCTCATCAGCCTCAGCAGGGTCCTTGCCAATCTTCTCCCCTGTCTCAGTCTTCTCAGCTTCCTTGGGGCTCTTCACCCTGGCCACCTTCTTGGAGTCGGGTTTTGCACCCTTCGATTGATGGGGACAGTCCTTCTTCATGTGCAGTCAACCGCAACCATAGCATCTCCCCTTCATCTCCGTGTTGTCATGGGCATGGCATAGGTGCATGCTGACCCCCTTTCTACATCCATCATCACTTTTCCGGAACTTGCCCACCGGCTTTGACCCCGTGCGCTCATCACTTTCTTTTCCTCCATAAGCCGACGCCATTGCCTTCAAGGACGTAGAGGTTGACTGTGTTGTAGGTTGAGGGCCTGTTGCCACCGAAATCGCCTTCAACTTCGTGGGTGTAGTCAGTGACATGTACTAACTTCACTCCAGACTGTGCGGATATTGGGAAACGCTGCGCCCCACGCTGTCCCACCTGGCGCAGTTCCCACCCAATAAAAAACGCATCCGATTAAATCAAATTTGTTTAGGGCTGCGCCCATCCACACCGTGCCCCACCCACACCTACCTCCGTCATGTTCAAAACAATCAAAACCCATCAAAAAGAACAAAAATGGATCAAAATCAATGAAAAGCATGAAAAATCAATCGAAAACTATTAAAGCGGATGAAAATCGAAGAAAATCCATCGAAAACAATGAAAAACGACAAAAACATGTAAAAAACATGTCACTGTGTCTGACATGTCCTCAATCTCCGCCTGAACATACTCCACCAGCTCCCGCACTGAGGGCAGTGCGGCGGCATGATCCACCCTCAACTCTTGCCTGGCATTGGCCAGTCGAAATGACAGCTGTCCTCCAATCTTCGTGGCTGCATCGATCATCCTCTGAACCGCAACCATCAGAACAATCGGATCCGGCAGCGACAGACCCGGTTCCTCCGCTCGCCCCAGCCACCTCCTCCACAGTCTGACCTGAGTGAGAAGATCGGTGATGCTCGCAGTGAACTTCGCTTCAACCAGGTTCTTCAGCAGCTGGGTTTTCTCAGCTCCCCGCCAGGTTGATAGGCAACGTGCAGCCTATAAAGGATGCGCGCAACCGACAACTGACGACCTGACACCAGGTCCCGGCGCACACTGTCCGGCAAAGCTCCCAGCAACATAGCAACGCCACGCTGCTCAATTTGCTGGAAAGCAGGCGCGACAGAGACTTCAGGTCGTTTTCGAATGCGCTCCAGCGGGGACGGTGCAGTGATCCTGCGCCACACTCAATGATTCTTCCCACCAGCCCTTGGCCGAACTGGATATGTCTGCCATCAAAGGGAAGGCCATCGTGAGCCAATCTCCAGAAAGGATCGATGCACCCTCCACGTCGGGTGGAGGCAAAGACGGCAGCTTCGTCAAGGCCTCCGTGGTCGAGGCATTGGCCACTCCCTGCCAGTTCGGATAGGCGAACCTTGCACTGGAGGTAGTCCAGGAGGTCGTTGAGGAAGACCATGTAGATGTGGATCACATACAGGTACTCCTTGATTTCCACTTGATGCCGTTTTGAACGAAGTGGCATCACCAGATTCTTGTCCAGCTGCCAATGCCAAGCGTCGCATCTCCTTCTCAAAGCTCACCTCCGCTTCGCTAAGGATGCGTGAGTGCTTCCACCTCATCCATCATGGGCGACATAGAGCCTTGATCTCTTCCCAAGCCTCCAAGGATGTCTGAGGGTCCATTCCAGCTTCTCCATTCTGCTCCATGACGCCTCGAGCAATTCCGGTGGTTTGGATTGCATCGCCAGCAGGAGTGAGAGGCTTGACACCATCTTGCACAGCAGGACTCCAAAATGGATTCACAGGAGCCTGATGCTGTCGTTCGGTGGTAGTTGAGGCTCGTCCCATGTAGTCCAGATCGAATTTTGAGGATCAAACTGTCCTCCCATCGGCCACACAGCCCCAAAGAGGTGTCCTTGATCATTGCCAAGTGCAAGGGGTCCTAATAGTCCCTGGGCTTGTACTTGAGGATGCGGCATCGGACCGTGACCTTGAAGAGGCCCAGTTAGAACATGCGTGATAGGTTCTTTGCATAGCTTCCTGCAGCGCACCCAGCCCTCCTTGATGTCCTGCAGGATCACCTGGTTGTTGTCCAGGATGTAGTACTGCCGAAGGTCTGACCGATCTCAGCGCGCCCTCAGGTTCATCAGAGGCAGCTGCATCACCTCGGACTTGCCTTCCAGGGATTCCAGGACTCAGAGCCACCGGTGGCCCTCGAGGCCCTTCTAGAGGCGGGGCTTACATGGATCTTCGTGGACTCGAGCTTGATGCCTTTGAGCGCTGCTCTTCTTCAATCAGCGCGTCCAGGCGCTTGTCAGCCACCCGAACCTCCAAGACCTCAGTGCCAGCCCGGGTCTCTTCCTTCATCTTCGCATCACCTTGGCGCCGCCTTCGCGTCAAAGCGGCATTTGAAGCCATGGCGGCGAGATCAGAGGTTCATTTGGACTCATAACCTACGAAACCACATGTGCAAAAAAGGTGCACAGCAGATCCACTGCTTTTCTTGAGCCAAAGTCCGTTGGTCAGTTTGACCATGTGCACACCTCTGTTGGTGAATGCTTCTATGCTTCAAGTCAAATGAAATGGGGATGTGGATCATGTTCTTTCGCTTCCACAGAATCATTGGCCAAATCCCCGGATGATTGACAGGCTGAGGATAGTTTAGCAAAGAACTGAAAGGAAGAGCAGCAGTTGTATATAACGATAACTTTGTTAATGTGAATCTTGTGGCATTGTTCTGGCAAATCATTGTCAGTCCTTTGCTGTCATGGTTGTTGCGGATGTAGCCTGGCCACGATTTCCAGTGTGCCAGTAAAAAAGATTTCCTGCAAGAACCATGAAGAATGTTTGCTTCATCTTGTTTCAAAATGCTTCAAGCACTTTTGTACTTCGCCTCCAGGCGAATAGGACCGCCCACCGCCTTGGCTTGGATCATTTAGTTGGCATCACTGGTGCTGCACTGGACATAGTGGGTTGGTTGCAGCATCAGCCCTTTAGCATAATTCTCTGGCTTCATTGGAAGAACGAGTTTGCACTTTTTGAATCATTGACATCATCTGAGTGTCTAACGTAAAAACCTTGCGGGCAGTGTGCTGAGATGTGTATCTTTTTGGTTGCTCCAAAGCCACACCGCCACCAATTTCACCCATCCAATCGATATGCCAAGGAGCAAACAGCTTTGTACGTCTAGCTTTGATCATCATCGGGCCATCATTGGCCTGTCGCTGAAAGATGCTGAAAGAAATTCTCACAACAATCCACAGTCAAGCAAGGCAAGGCAAGCACAAGAGGTAAGCAGCATTCCCAGTGCTTAACTTATCCTTCTCCACTCTGCTTGCTGCTGATAGCTGTAACATCAACATGGCTTTTCCAATGGCTCCTTCTTTGAGAGATCGTCAATGATTCGCAGTTTGTTGGACATCCCAAGAACTGGCATGCTGCATATTGTCATGATTCCTCTCAGATCCTCGCCTTCACTTGGTAGCGCTCCTCCAATCTCCCTCGGGCTGCATGGGATCGTGGCGTGACGAGAGGATCGGGCCGCGTTTGCCGGGCCCACTGTTGATCGAACTCTGCAGCGATCAGCACACACACCTGAAGCCATCCCATGGTGTACTCAGTAGAAGATATATAAGCGAATCATACTGAGAATGCTGGCTGGTTAACATTAATTAGCCCAAAGAGGCGAAGACATGGGAGGGAGAGTCACGGACCGGCAGAGCCTTTATATTTTCTTGTTACTAGTAGTAAGGCACCTGTTACTACTAGCGTGGCACTTGTTCCTAGTAGCTTCTTGTTACTACTAGTAAGGCACTTGTTCCTAGTAGCTACGGAGCTACTTAAAGGCTTTACCAATGTGGCTGATCAGCCAACTAGGAGGATGTTTCCGAAATGTGCAACAAAGGCTATAGCCTGCTATAGTATAGATGTCCTTGGAGGAGTACCAAGACGTCTGGTATCATCTGGTAGCTATGAAAACTGACACAAATAGGTCAACTAACAAACAGATACTGTACGGTGCGGTGTGGAAGAAAGAAAGAGAGAACCTGAGAGAAACTGGGAGATACTGAGAGATACCCTGACAGTGTGATAGCCCGATTCTTCAAATCTTGCTCCTTCTTGAAGTGCAAAGTCTTTTGCGGCATCATTCGTCATGCCAGCCTCTTCTCCAGTTGGCACTGCCCCTTGAAGAACTCTTGGCGGTGGAGTGCTAGCATTCCAAAGTGACAAACCACGGCAGTGCCCTTCTGTCGCGTCCATTTTTACCGACCTGCAAGGATGCGTAGGTGCAAGTATGAGCTTGCATGGGGTCCCTAAACACACCTGTTTCCCCCCACTAGTCGGAAAAGGATTTTATGCTTATCATTACTTATCATCGTTGAAAGTTTCACAGCTGCACACGAAGGCACAAGTCAAGCTGCCCAAGCTTGTAAACACACTTTGTGGACTTGAGACAGGCGGCTTTTGTAGGATCTGCTGAAACTGCTCCTGCTCCAAGTCACCCCCGTCCTCGCCAACCAAGCAACCAGGTACCACACTGCTCGGAACTGCTACCAACCTGGCATGAAAAAAGAATTAGAAATGCTGCATGCCTTAAGGAAGGGGGGGAATCGGCCTATCTGATATGGAGAAGAACCAAACATATGATCGCAATTTTTGCACAAAGATCTACGAGCCGCAAAGGTGCATCACACCTGGCCTGGCCGTCATCTGATGACACCCAAAGCCATAGATTTGAACACTGAGAGATGTTGCTCCATCACCTGCAACATCAAACAACAACAATACGAACAAGAACAAGAACAACAACAACAACAACAACAACAACTCAGCTTCTGACATCTTCTGACAACCTTTTGAATTTAGCCACAGCACTGTGCTCAGCGCTCCTCTAAATCCTCCCAAATGCGCTCGTGACAACTTCGGTTGTGCCTGCACTAGAAGGCATGGAAGGTGGCAACACCACCACCTCTGGGCGTGTCATCTCGATTGTCTTCAGGCCTTGGCTTTGCGATGAATCAAATGGAGGCAATCCTGAAAAAAAAAAAAAAACAAAGACACTTCTGTTTGAAATTGAACACATCTGTCTTTCGATCTCCGGAAGAGGCCACAACTTGATGCTGGTAGTAATTAGGGTGGACACCAATGTTGCAGTCTCACAATTTTGGTCTGCAAAGCAACATCTAATGTGTCTCTCAAATTCTCCTTGTACAGTAGCAGGACAAGTATTGGTTGCTGCCACTCTAGACTATGCCAAAGCACACATGCGAAGGTTCCGAGCGATATGCCCGTTGGTCGCGCTGGGGCTCCAGATCTCCAGGCGATGCCCAAGCGAATTGTCTGGGGCAGTTTTGTAGTTATCCATTTCCTTAACTCTGCGAAAAGGAACTCAAGGAAAGGGCAGAAAACTCAGATGTACAATGAGTTTCACGTGTACTCTACATGGAGGACCGAATGCGTTGTGAAACTTTTCTGTCTGTGTAGAGCATTGAAGGAGTGTTCCTGTTGTAATGCTAGGCTCATCCAGAATCATCCAGAGTCCTACAAGCAATGCAATCAATGATGTGAATGCACGGCCCATAAAATGGCCTCTGCGAGGTTGATATACAAACATGCCAAACCCTTTTTGTTCTCCAGGGTATTGGGATTGGGCTGTTCGCAGGAATAGTACAAAGTCATGACGGATATATAGAACTTATCTCCTGAATATATTGCCAAAACGCTTGAAGGCGAATGCACAAGTGATGCAACATGCACAACAAAGGACTTATAGCGTCTTAAACTATGATTCTCAAAGCCTCCATGAGAGGTCGTTCCATAAATAGTGTGGCAAGCAGCTGCCAAATAGACCAGTGTGCTGATGCTGTCGCGGCGATACTTTGTCCGCTCCTTCAAAGTAATTATAAGAGATCTTATGTTTGAACAGGGCAACATCGGTTGCACTTATATATTACATATTATAATATATCAAACTCTATTGTGAAACAATGTGCTTGTCCGAGCTTTTCTCAAACTTCTCATTATTATTAAATTGCAGCATGTCCACACATACTACGATCAGCGTTCCCACCAGTTCCAGTAACTCAGTCCTCAGCATAGCCACCATAGGTATTCGGTTTGCAAACTGTGATGGGCGTAGGTGACTTCTCCCAGCCTGCTGCGTAGGACCAATCCTCCATGCCTCCTTCTACTGGGTAGACCTCGGTTGCGCTGGTGGGACTCCCACACATCCAGGATGAGAAAAACAATAGCTACTAGTAACAAAGGGCATCGCTACTAGGAGCAAGAAGCTACTAGTAGCTCCTGGCATCGCTACTAGGAACAAAGGACGCTACTAGTAGCTCCTGGCATCGCTACTAGGAGCAAGGGAATCCCTACTAGGAGCAAGG